TTCCTATCTAGAAAAGGGGGGCCCTGCAGAGAAAGTTTGGGAACCACTGCGTTAGCACAACCTGTTCGTAATGAACATATATATCCTCTATCAGTTTTATCACATTTTATCTCGTATACCATTTATTTTGTTAGTATAGGTATCTAGCTGTTCTTCCTTTACCTGTAAAGTCCAGTATGCCCCTCCAAGCTATTATGGGCAACACGTGGAATCTACATAGAGCTTGGTGAGTAGTTACATTATAATACATTATTATTTCCCATTGTCAAGTAGATAAAATATCATTACATTGGGTCATTTTAGGCTTTAGATGTAACCACATAGTAGAACTAGTATAGTAAAATCCAGTTATAACGGACTTCGAGGGACTTGGCAAAACAGTCTGTTTTATCCAAAGTCCGTTATATCCAGAGTTGCTGTATGCCCAGAACACAACTACAGGACACCATTTACTCATGTCACACCCCGGCAGACACACTTGTGGTATAGATTATTATATTGTACATGCAGTAATCCAACTTAACCTGACCAGATGCATGATTATTAATAATCCCGACTACGTATCTGCACTGGATATCACCGGCATGCCACGCGCCTTGTAGGCGGAGTCTGCATGTCCGTTATAGCCGAACAAAACTGTAACAGCTAAAAGCAGCCCTGGGGACCAAATTGTTGGTCCGTTATAAGCGAGTCCGCTATAACGGGATTTTACTGTATTCCAGAATTGCTTCCATGCACTACAATTAAATGTAATTAACATTTTTTGAATATCACTTCGTTGTATTTTGGCATGTAACATAGCCATAGTACATTCAGTCCAATTCATCCATCGAGTTAAGTCACACCCCCACACCCACTTGAGGGGGCACTCCGGCAGAGGCGAGGACGGAAATGTTCTTTCCCATTGTGGCATCCCCTACAGACGTACATCTCGCTCCCGTTCACAGGGGTTAATTCAATGATGAAGCAGGGTTGGTTGGCTGGACAGGTGAAGTTGTCCTGCTGCCGAGTATCTGTGCTGTTTTTCCACCGAAGCTTGAAGGTGGAAATGTGCTCCAGCTCAGTCCTGGGACTGCAGCATAGCTGAAGGTCATCGGCAGCACCGGCCACGTCGTCCACCCGAACCACCTGTACCCATAAAGGAGGAACTCACATGCACATTAGTTTTCTCGTGAATAATATTTATTAGCTGGGACGTGTCGCCACCTTTCGGCGCCAGGCTCCATGACAGCCACGGTGTAATCCTGTCCCACAGCCATCACTTCTGCTGGCTTAGGTGGGCCATCTTGTTGTTGAACTCAAACCTTTGCTCCACTCACAGCTGTGGGCCCAAAACCTCCTTCTCCTCTCTGAGTAACATGTCGTGGTCGTGGAATGTCCACCACGGTGCCGATGTGGACGGGTTTAACCAACAGCTGGGCAATTCGATCATGGTTTTCTACTGTTAGCGATTCATTGGATATGTTTTCGAACACCATCTGGATAAAGCCTTGATGGTCCGAATCAATCACTCCTGCTAGGACTATGTTAAAGGCAAACTGTCCACAGTGCCCCATCGGACATTGTACCCCTATGCCTGTATTAATCTTTGTTACGGTGTGAGGCAGTAACACCGCTGCCTCCACACAGAACAAATCCAGTCCAGCTGAACTGGGGGGGGGGCGCACTGGTCGGCAGTTTTGCCTCTGGGTGGATCAACCAAAATTTAATGGGCTGTTCACCACACTTTTCCACCATTACTGTTTGTGCTTTTAATGGCATCAGAGCGGCCTGTCCTCGGGTCAGAGGTCTGTTGTTAAGGGCCATCACAGACTCCCTCCTCCCCTCAGGCAAGGCGCTCTCAATTTTCCAAATTCTCATCTAAGTGAAGTGAAACGGCCTGCAGCCGCAGAACATACCTAAACACTTTCTCTTTTAATTTCTAGAAAAATAAAGCATCCTTGGACAACACTTCCCCTTCTTAAGGCAAGCGTCCTCGAGCGACACCGTTTCTTCTTCCCCAAAACCAAAATAAGTATCCTAGGACGAGATAAGCATTCTGCAAAACTAATTATTGGTAAAAACAAGTTATAAAAGTGATCAGTGAAAAACATGTTTGTGTAGTTCGACCTTGGCATAACAGTATTATGGGTGAATTATGGACAACGTATTAGAATTTCAGGATGATTAGTCCATACACAATCAGAATCAATCAATACCTCAATCACCTCAAATGTATGTCTGCTAGCTGTGAGTAGATGTGTGCTCCAAACTGTGAGTAGTGGCGTTGAACAATCACAACCTTCCAGTACCTAATAGTGATAGGGTGACAGTGAATAATCCCTATTAATTCTATGCTATGTGGGCGACGTGATCCTCCGCGAGTTCGTCTTCATACACTACAGAAAGCAAGCGTTCCACTGAGCAGCCTGTAACAAGCGATGTGACAAACACTGGAAGTAGGCTGTTGACGTTTGGGGACGCATCTTTGTGGCATGAATCCATGACTTCATTCAATTCATTAGTGACTGGTGGGGTCCCCCCCCCCATCTACCTCTGGCAATACCATCAATGGGTCCGTGAGCAAGACCCTTAACCGCAACTTGCTCCAGGGGGACTGTCCCTGAATTTATAAAAATGGAAGTCGCTCTGGATAAGAGCACCTGCTAAATGCTGTAAATGTAAATGTACTTACCATGGTAACAGTTGCAAACATATAGTTAATACTGCATCTTTAATGCAGACTCTGTGTTGTGCACTTGGGGACTGAA